ATTACAGTTTCCCTGTAATATAGTCAAATTTCCCATTTATATCTGCATGTAATGTGTACCTTGGAGTGTTGGACTGACCTCTCTGCCACTGTCTCGTTGAAACGTTGGCAGATGGAACTCATCCAAGTGCTCTGCGGGTAGGTGGATCTCTATGATTACATGGACTTTCTGCATAACATCAACATCAGCTTAAGAGCCCTGACTCCAGGTCAGCTCACACAGTGCTGCTAAAAGTGTCCGGAGATGTTTTCCAGGCAAATCCAAAATGCAACACTCAAACAAACTGTGATGACAAAACACGGCTTGCTGGTAGTTTTTTTTTTTCTTTTTTTTTTTCTGGCTTTAAAATGTTTCACTGTTTAAAAAGTTTGAACCACTGTAGCTGTGCTCTGAATTATGCATGCCTTTCATTATTCATGCATTGTTAAAATGTGCAAAAGTCTGGTGTTCATCTTCACAATTATGACTTTAATGTAACACGGACTCTTTATGTAACAGTTCATGAATGGTTAGCCACCAACAGTTGTGGCTCCGGGTAACTAGTCATCACCAATCATTTGGAAAAGCGACACGGTTTTCTCTTCCCTCGGTTGAACCCGTCTACACTCAGTTCAACCATGAGCTACCATTAATTAGCTAACATATCGTCTCTCTGTTATTTACAGTCTAACAGGGCCAGGAAGTGGTGACACAAGCGGGACAGGAGGACACCTCCCTGGGGGGGGAGCTTAATCAATAAGCTTTGACAGCTCTCCCTCATCTGAGAGGTCCTCGGGGGGGCAGATCCAAGGTCACACTGAATGTAGCTTCTAGCCTGTAAATCTGACAACACGTTTCCCAGGGTGATGTGCAGCAACATGAACCTAATTGTCATCCTATACAACATCGTGTCATTGCAGGCTGGGACAAAGTCAGTGAAGTATTTACAGAAATAGAAAAGGGGATCAGGCTGAAAATGACCAGAGGACGCTTCATGAAGGAAGCTCAGAGAAGTCAGGTTCACGGTGTCTTCACACTGCATGTGTGAATGCAAAAAGCCGTATTTCACCCAGAATTGTCTTGGATTTTTTTTTTTCTTGACAGCCCCCTAGTAAAAATTTCGACGTAAAGAAGCGGTGAGCTGATGTGTGAACCAGGAAATGTTCATGAAAATTACACACGGCCATAAGGAAGCTGCTTCATATTCCTTTCTGCTCGTCATTATGTTCTTTTGAACTCATTCTGTGATACTGTGAATACATAAAAATATAGTAATACTGATATACAGGCAAGAAACTGTCATTAGCGTGTCCGGATTTCTTTTTTTTACATCATACTTTGACTCCTAATGACCCCTCACGCCTGACAGAGAAAACTTCACACTGTGAGGGACATATATACTGATAAGAGACTCAGGGCCGGGCTGTCCTAATTGTTTTCTGAGATTGTTGAGAGTGCTCGAGTGAAAACAGCTTTGAAGGGGCCTAAAAACAGAACAAGGATTGATCTGAACCTTTAACTAAAAAGTTATCAGATGCCATCACTTCAGTGAGAAAAGCAGAGGATTGTTTTTGGCAGGGAGCGTTCACGCTGGTAGCTCAGTTTTGTTGTCATTATCTCCTTAAAATCATATAGGCTCCAACTCTTTACACAAATAACGTGATATCTGAAATGGTAAATATGTAAATAAGTAAGTGCTGTAAATGAGTATACAAGATGCACTAGATGCAACCCAGACTTTAAATTGCTAATATCAGACGGGATCCCAGCCAGGTAATTTGTTGACTATTTGCCTCCAGGAACACGACAATCATCTGCTGCTTTATTGGAGAGTCCCAGCATACGGCCAAGAGAAAAGTGAGGACTCAGCATTCATCAACATCAGCCCGAAGCTGTTACATCTCCTGTAGGTATCAGGACAGCCAGCTTGCTAAATACTATTTTTTTTAAAGACGCCTAAAACTCTCTTCAATTTAGCCTTCATCAAGAGAGGACTTTCTTGATACATAGGTTGCTTAATTACTTAAATGTGGTGTTTTACTAGATTTTATGAATTCTCTGTGCTCTCTTTTTTACTTTTACTACTGGCATTAATATTCAGTCAGTTTTGTTTTGCATCTTATAATTTTTGTTCTTCTTTATATTTATTTTTAGGTGTCTTATCTAGCTTTTATTATCATGTGGTGTCCTTATTGTTTCATGTATGAAAGTTGTGATACAGAAACGTCCACTCATTTTAAACAAAGACCACGTGTTTCTGCATTCTTTTCTTTGGTTTTTATGAGATACAAAACAGCCTTTGTATATAAGAGAAGAGCAGAATTATTACTTCATGTTTGTCTTTTTGAGTGGTTTTAAGAGAACAAACTGTGAATATGCTTCTGACTGCAGGAATAAAGCCATGTGTCAAAACAGATAATGCATTTTTAAACTGATATAATTTCACTTCAAAAGTAATACCCTGAATCTTAAGACCATGTAGTAGGCACCTGAGAGAGATTAATGACTGGTGTTAGATTTTGAGCTCACAATAGGTACAGCGTATGGGCTCATGTTCACAGCTGAGTGGTAAAGATGAACTGTGAGGGAGGAAGTCGGGACAGACTGACTGTAACACTGACAGGAACAGGTCAGTCTGGAGGGATAGGTTTCTATGGTAACTGAGGTCGCACTTACTAAAAACCTACTTTAGAGCCTCTGGAAGTTGACATAGAAATCAGCATCTAGGAAACAGAAGTCAGGAGTCAACATAAGAATACTGACACATTTAAGAGGAAGACCTTCTGAATAAGAAAAAACCTGGATCAAAATACAGCTGTTTGGGCATTACCAAACAGGCTGTTTGGTAATTAGGCTGTTTGTAAAATTCATGGTTAGTGTGTGTGTGTGTGTGTGTGTGTGTGTGTGTGTGTGTGTGTGTGTGTGTGTGTGCGCATGGGTGCGTGTGTTTGATGTTTGTGTTTGGTCTATCAAGTCATATTTGACATATGCCTGGCCCCACACATACACACACACACACACGCACACGCAGACACACACAGACACACACACGCACACGCACACACACACAGACACACACACACACACACACACACACAGACACACACACACACACACACACAGACACACACAGACACACACACACACACACACACACACACACACACACACACACAGTGTCCATATCAAACATATCATAGTTGGCAGTTAGTGCACACATGTAATGTTGGCTGAGAGGCTCGTATTTGTTCTCAGCTCTGTGAGTGTGATGTTAAAGGATGGCTTTGTAGGTTTAGCAGGACCTGAATCATCATATGTTAAAAACCTGCTCAGCCATCATTCAACTCCCACGGTGTAAAATAGACAAGTGTAGCTGACACTCTGCACATGTTTATTGAAGGGACAACACAATCGCTGGACAAAGCCTTTTCTATAATTTGGATCAACTAATGACCCACTAAATAAATGTCCAAGCATCACCAAGCCCAACTCATAATCAAACAAAATCTTACAAAAACTTAAAAGACAATATTTCAAAATCGACTGAGATTTTTCAGTTAAAAGGATATTGTGGGACTTACTGAGACACGCCTATTTATTGAGTAATATTGCTTCATGAAAAACTTCTCTGGACCAGGCTGGACCGGAGGGAGGAGTTGTCATGGTAACTTCAGTGTATAAACCCTCTTCATGACACAGAATTGTGCTGAAAACAAGTCTGATGTACTGCAGTAAACCTCGGCTTTGACTGCTGATCTGGCTCTGTGCGGCTCTGCGGTAACTGATGCCGTTTGTCAGAAGTGAGGAGCTCATCATTAACTGGAAAACTTCTTCATCTTCTCACAGCTGCTGAGCCCCCACCAGGGAGCGAGAACTCATGCTCCATCAGCTCCATCATGGCCGACTCTCGTCAGCTGCTGCAGTGTGCACAGAGGGTGTAGCAGGCCGGGATGTGAGCTGTGAAACAGATTTATATCTTCTGTGTCTACCATACTTATCTTGTGTAAGTGGTAAAAGTTACCGAATATATAAGTACTGACATTATAATAGCCCCTGCTTGTGTATTTCTGCATAAAATCAATGTTTGCAATTTAAGGAGACGTGTAGAGGAGCTGAAGGAGTGAGAGCATTTGTCTGAGGTATTTGATGTGCTTCATATCAAGGAGGAGAGGAGAAAATGTGTCATCAGATAGAAAATCTCACAACTAAATCAAGGAGGTCAAACTACATCCTGAGTGATTGTGGTGTGAGAGGTGGAGGACTCCAAACTCTGAGCGTACTGCAGGTTTTTTTTTTTAATCAATATACTGGTTGGAGGATGGGATCAGTATCAGCTTACATTACAGACAAGGGATGTGCTGGAACAGATATTCAACCCAACACTTTGAGGTGGAGAGGCCCAAATATTAGGTTGCAAGCTTTGCGTTTGACATCAAAATATTTGTTTATTCCCATGGAAACTAGTATTTCATGAAATTGACCACATGTGAACTCAATTTCAGCACCTTTCCACACTCACATTTCCCATCCTCCAACCAGTTCATTGATTTAAAAAAAAAAAAAAAAACCTGCACACTATACCTGGTCATCATCAAACTCCAACTTTTTTCACCTACCTGCCACAGTGACTGGTGGATTCAAAATTCTACTAGTCAGTCAAATACAGAACTTAAATGCTCTTTGTCTAACTCATAAATAGAAAGAAAGGTTGTTTTGTCCTCAAAAGTTGATTCAGCTGCAACTAAACCACAACTGAGAGGCAAGATAATATTGATCTATAGTGTGTAAACTTATTTGAGGGGAGTCATCACAATTATTAAGTTTTCTGCAGTTTCATTTGGAAATTTAAAAAATATGTATAAGTCATTGTGTGTTAACTTCTCAGGGAGTTCTGGCTTCTTAGTGAATCTGTATGGTTTGCAGTGTAAGTTGTATTTCAAACATCTGAGGTGTGTTAAGTTGCTACAGCTGAAAATACCCCATTTCCTGATATGATTCTTTCACAATTAAAGCACATCAGCAACATTTGAACCAGGAGCTTTTATTGTGAAAAACATTTCAGAAACAGTTTAGCTTTAAGCCTCTCGACAAACAGATATACAGCGCCCACCTGTCAATCGGCTCAGCCACGCACCTTATTGTGAGTAATGTTTATCCTTGACAAAATCAAAACGGATGTGTTACAAAACAACAGTGTGTACCATTTAGACATATGCACCTCAAATTGTAACACATATTAGCAATGTTGGCAGAGAAACACAGACAGCAATATGAATAGGTATGAGACCAGTCTTGGAAAAGTGGGGGTTCTAGTGGGGTTGCTGTGTTGATTGCTTTCTCACTGCAAACAAAAACTGCTCCAGGATTCGATTGGAAGCAAGCCAACTTGTGTGATTGCTGTGTTCACATATGTCAAAACTATCCGGGCTAGGAGGGAAATGCCCCCTTATTTCGGAACAACTTCTCCAAATGACCCGGGTGTGGAAAAAAAAAACCTAGAAATATGTTAATGAATAACCTGCCACACTCTACATTTACAAAGGGTGGCACCGCAACAGAAAAAGGTATATCCAAATCAAAGTGTTATTTTGTTATAAAGCAGTTTTAGCTCAGAATATCTGGCAGAATAGAAAAATGTTCAAGGTCCAGCTCCTGCGCCTGACAGTGGATCTGATATTTCATCAGTCCAGACTGCAGCACTGAGATCCATCTCAACTGGTTGTGACTGGTAGGTCAGTCTCCCAGTTACACCGCAGACTCACCACAAAAGCTGCTGCTGCTTCCACCTCTTTGATCATCACCGAAAAGATTATCCTCTCTTTAAACTCTGACAGATATCACTTCCATCTGACGACAGAAAAATACAGAAAATCAGACTCACTCATCAGCTGTGAAGAAGTAATGCAGAATATCTAATATGAAGACCAGCAGGGACTTAAATCCTGCTCAAAACCACAAGTGGTTGTGTAAAGTAGCACACTTCTTTTCAGCTCTCTATTTCATATATTGGTGACTTAAACCTTTAAGGGATAGTTTAGATTCTTTGAAGTGGGTTGTTTGAGTTAATTGTCTTTAATTAGTTTATTAGAAACAGGAGACGCTAGTCAGTTGGAACCCTTGATGTAAAAACTCCCGTCATTCTGGTGTCGCTTCCACTGTCATCTTGGATTTCTTATTTTCTTTATTTTTGTCAAGGCAGGGAAAACTTTGTGTAAAGAACTCAGGAAGATTTAAGGGGCAGATTGTTTGACATTTTCTTGAAATGTTCAGTACAGTATGTTTGAAAACAGCTGATGGCTGTGTCTTGCATGATAGATTAACTGATGGTTTGCAACAAATGTGCTTTGGGTCCCCTTCCCATTTAGGCTGAAATCACTCCTTATGTTGTAAAGACGGCAAGCAATGATACAAAGATTACTAACTCTCATGAAATGCAATACAACTAATAAGAGTAGAAAGAACAGATAGCTGTATTTAAATGTAGGGGTTTAAAGTAAAAAAAAAAATCGAATTCAAATTTTTCTTAAGAACATAAGCATTCGTATGTGGATGTCCCTCCTCTGCCTTTGAGATGAAAATAAAAGCAATTATCACTTGTCTCTTTTGCACTAAAAATCATAATGTATTTTCTCCTCTCACAGTTCAGTGAGTAAAAAGTACATTGACTAAATCCAACACTCTACTTACTCCAGAGTCTCTAGTCTGTTCTTTGGACTCTCCACAAGGTCAGACAGAAGCTTCACTCCTGAATCCTGCAGATTGTTTTCAGTCAGATACAGGCTGCTCAGATGGGAGGGGTTGGACTCGAGAGCTGAGGCCAGAGAAGAACTGCTGATCGCTGACAATCTGCATCTTCTCAATCTGAATAAAAACATATTGTCAATAATTAACATCAATCAGATATTTTTTTTAAAACGTAAACAAATGAGTTTGTTCCTTAGTCGAGTAGAGTGACTTTATCATTCTGTTATTGTGGATCACTAAAATGTCTACAGACATCATCTTAACATTCATACACCTGTTCATGTCATAAAGATACCAACATGCTACAAATCTCAGTAAAGTCTGTGATTAGATGTGAAATCCTAAGTTTAGTTTCTTAATATCTATACTTTGACATTTTCTTTGATATACAATTTGGAGTAGACGTCATTATTACATCACCGCAGTTTCACACGCATCGGCTCCCGGGAAGGCTGCTAAACATGAGACAACCATGACACAGACAGGCCCGCTTGCAAAAATTGCCAGGGCCCCTTAAAGGCTCAGTAAATGGGCCCCCCCACCAGGACATGATTTAAATCATCTTGTGCACATTTGATCAGTTGTGTTAGCGCTGGCCTCCTGGCTAACATTCGCTCACTCTTGGCCCGCTTCCATCAGTAACATTACAAAAACAGTGGTTCATATCATTTTACTGTAGTTTATGCTTTCAAACTGGGTACATTTTACTCTGGCAACAATAAATAAAATGTGTGTTTTTGTTTACCGAAGAGGTCATGGTGAGTATTTCAGTGTCAAATAAAATGTGGTCATTGTTGCTTAAAATTAGGATGGACCATGTTTTTACTAACCTCCATGGGCCCTCTCCTTGTGACTGAGCCCCAGAAAGCTTTCCCCTAAATCCCCCCCTTATGGGCGGCCTTGGACACAGATAATGACACAGCCTAGCATTAATCTGTTATGTAAAACATCTGCAGTGATGATAACTTCACTTCCTGCTTGGTCATTCTCTCTTTTTCACTTCTTAGCTTTATCTGTCACCGTCCTCTTCCTCTTAGCCTTTGTATCAAACAGTACAGAGACGGGCTAACTGGCTGCTTTTTAGATGAAGGTTGATATGCGAACTACTGCTATAAAGTCTAAAGTCGTTCACACTTCTGGAGATAAATGAAACCTCCGAACAGCCAATCAGAGAGATTGCTCTCACCAACCGGTCCAACTAGGACAGACGCCGACGATTTCCTTGGTGTGTCAGGGCCTTAAGGGAGACACCATTCCCCCTGTGGACAGTAATTGTTCTAGTAGTAGGACCTTTGAAACAACTATTTTAAGGTGGAAAGGTTACATACCATTGATTTAACATAAATCAGAAACTTAAGTTTGCTTTTACAACCTAAAGCAGTCATTTTTTACAATGTTCTTCAAAATCTTTTTTTTTTATGAAAGCGGATTTAATCTTAACAATATGAAAAAAATTAACAGCATGTAATCTTAAACTTTATAGATTTTAACAGATAATCATTTAACTGACCCGAGAGTATCCAGTCTACAGTTTGGACTCTTGAGAAAATCACAAAGCAACGTCACTCCTGAATCACGCAGGATGTTGTCACTCAGCTCCAGATATCTCAGATGGGAGAAGTTGGACATCAAAGCTGAGGCCAGATAAGAACAGCTGATCTCTGTCAAACGGCAGCTCCACAAACTGAGAAAAACAGACGAAATGAACAAGCGTTAAAAGAAAATGTTTCTGCATTAAATCATTAAATGTGAAATTATCTGTTCAGCAGTTTAGTGGCACCATAACTTTCACATTGATTTTAGAAGCAGAGAAAACTGTGTCTGACCCCAGGGTATCCAGTCTACAGTTTGGACTCTTCAGTCCAGAAGACAGAAGCTTCACTCCTGAATCCTTCAGGATACTGTTACTCAGATACAGCTCTCTCAGATGGGAGGGGTTGGACAGAACTGAGGCAAGGGTAGAAGAGCTGATTTCTGTCATTTTGCAGCCACAAAATCTGAATAAAGAGTGAAACATGTAAATAAACCTTTATAATACAATTGTTTAGGTCAACATCAATATGAACTTATTATCTTAATTACCCTTCAAATGAGTGAGGTAACTTAGTCACTGAGTTACAGTGGATCATTATTATAGCAACCTTCTACAGACATGGACTCTGGGTCTGAATTGATTTGCTCCCAGGGACATATTTACGGCTAAAAACAAGTAAATTGGTGATGGATTGTGCAAAAAGTATATTTGGGGGGCGCTGGTGGCGCAGTGGTTAGTGTGCATGCCCCATGTATGGGGGCCATGGTCCTCCAAGAGGGTAACCCAGGTTCAAATCCCGCCTATGGCTCCTTTCCCGCATGTCATTCCCTTAGCTTCTCTCTCTCCCTGATTTCAGACTCTATCAACTGTCCTCTCAATTAAAAGCCCAAAAATAAATCTTGAAAAAAAGAAGTATATTTTGGTCAGAGTGTGTGTGTGTGTGTGTGTGTGTGTGTGTGTGTGTGCGTGCGTGTGTTCTGGAGAATCAAAACATTTATCAGGCATTACTTGAGATTAGGAACCAAAAAGAGATTTGAGCAAAGTAGTATTTTATTTTGATCAGCGTGACGACATCTAAAATGTTCCCCACCAAAAAGAACCAAAAAAAAAAAATTACAGTTAATTATAATAATATATATTATTAATTATTTTATCTTTTTTTTGTATTTCAGCAAATACTAATAAAGTAAACAAATGACTTAAAACAAATGTTCATTCAAGATCTTCTGGTTAAAGTTGTGACATTTAAAAAAAAAGGAGGAACATTGATATAATTTAACAACTTAAAGCAGATTTGATGACTGCATATTTAATTTAAACAAGTAAGAAAACATGAACAGTGAAACTACAACTTCATAGATGTCAACTACACTTGAAGATGGGCAAGGTTAGTCTGATAATGACACACATAACTTCTACAATAGAAAGAGATAATATTTGAACTGACCTCAGAATCTCCAGTCCACAGTTTGGACTCTTCAGAAAATCACACAGCAGTGTCATTCCTGAATCCTGCAGCTTGTTCTCACTCAGGTCCAGCTCTCTGAGATGGGAGGGGTTGGACTTCAGCGCTGAGGCCAGATAAGAACAGCTGATCTCTGTCAAACCGCAGCTCCACAAACTGAAATAAATAGATGAAATGAACAAGCGTTAAAAAAAAATGTTTCTGCATGAAATCATTAAATGTAAAATTATCTGTTCAGAGTATAGAAGTTGACATAATAAAAACTTCAAACACCGGAACCTAACAGGATCCAGATTACAAAACATGAAATAAAAAAGTGAAAAATAGCGCTAGTCAATAATAATGACAACATGATACTTCTTCAATTAACTTAGTAATTTCACCACTTAAACTCTGCAGCCTCAAACAATAGAGTGATCTGTATGAACTCATGTTGTTCAGTCAAACAAAAAATGAAAACTCAAACTGATTGGTGATCTAACTCAAGATCCAAAAGTTTCCAGAGGCCAAATATGTCAGAATAAACTGTGGAGAAAAGTGAACAGAGAACATCTGTAATGGAGAAGTGATTTAATCAAAGACTCTTGAATTAAAACTTTTCTATCAGTTTAAGCATCAAACTGTTTCATAAAGCGTTGAAACAATCAAATACTAAATCAATTTGTCATTAACTGATGGTTGTAATTGGAATGTTTTTTTTTTTATCTAAAAAAGACAACATGACAGAAAATCTGTTCAAGTGGTTAAGAGTGTATTATAGTGTTTTGATTTTTCTTGGTAAATTTTAGGTTTGCAATGCGCAGCTTAAAACTGCTCTCCCACTCGATGAACAAAACCACTGAAGAAATTGACGTTTGCATTAAGATCCTCAGCGTGGCTCATTTTAATGTTAACCTAATGTCTACAGTTCAGTGTCACCACAACTTTCACATCATATTTATAATAGAAGATAAATGAAACATTGTCTTACTCCAGACTCGCTAGTCTACAGTTTGGACTCTCCAGTCCAGCAGACAGAAGCTTCACTCCTGAATCCTGCACTTTGTTTCTACTCAGGTCCAGCTCTCTCAGATGGGAGGGGTTAGACTTCAGAGCTGAGGCCACAGCTTCACAGTGAGTCTCTGATAGTCCACAGTCATAAAATCTGCCATGACAATAGAATGACAAAACAATTAGACACATTGTGTTTTGAAGATTTTCTTTTCACATCAGTGGTTCAGTTGATCTCCAGTCACTTTTGTTAAAGTGAAACAATACTTCCCATCACACTATTGTATACCTGCATTCTAGATTTATTTTTGAGCTATTGCCTTTTTTCAGATAGGACTGGGGATAGAGTAGGGGGGATGAAACTCAGTAAAGCAGCAGCATAGTCTTGGTGAACCTGGGCCACCCACTTGGAGGACTGTAGCCTCATGTGAACTAACTGCAAGGGCAACCAGTTTCAATAAATCATTTTTCTCAATAACTAGTATTTGAGGTTTAGGAGGGTTTATAAAAAATGGAAGTATAGATTTTCTCTTTAATTTCTTGCCCTTGGGCTCCTGTAGTTTACGAGTGCATGAGAACATTCCCACGCAATGAGTGGAATTTATCAACTTGTACTTCTGTTTAGAAATGTTTGTAAATATAAGCACAGCTCTGACCATGCTTACGCACAGAATCTAGCGGTAGAACATTGAAACTACAAATAAGTGTCACAGCACGCCTTAATCAATCTCAACGGAGATGCATGTTCTGAGTTTTCTTTCATCAAAACACTAAATTTGTGATTTTGACTAGTTTGAAACAGATGTTGGCAAAGCCGCAAGCTCGGCAGAGAGCTAATTTCAATAGAGCGCGCTGGTCTGTTGGTCCAGCTTGTTTTGTTGGGAGAGCACCACTGCTTAATTATTTTTTTACTAGAGAGAGCTGTGCCGCAGATGATCCTGAAAATGCACTGTTCAAGGGTGAAAATTGGGTGGCATTCTGTTGTTCTTCTCCATAAATGGTTTATTGGAGGCGTTTCTGATTGCAAATATCCCAGAATGTGCATGAGCCTGCTGGTTAAGAACATTTGTCACAAAATGATTAAGTGATAAGTTTCAACAACAAAAAAAATCAGCTGAATACTGTGGTCATAAACCTAGATATTGTATGCTGAAAGCTATATTTGAAGAGCTTAGAGTGCTTAATTATATATTTTACTGTAAATAATCACATCTGGACTCACATAGCCTGTCTGCAGTTCCTTACAGCTGGAATCAGTCTCAATCGTCCATGGTTTGATGTGTTGTACTCCGTCAGATTTAATTCATCCACAACTTCCTCTGACATCTGCAGCATGTAGGCCAGAGCAGAGCAGTGGATCTCAGAGAGTCTACTTTTTGATATGTTTTCTGACTTCAGCAACTTTTGGATCTCCTGATTGATTGAGAGGTCGTTCATCTCCATCAGACAGTGGAAGATGTTGATGCTTCTGTCAGGAGAGATATCCTGACTGTTCATCTTCTTCAGGTTGTTGATGACTCTCTTGATCGTTTTTGGACTGTTGTCTGGCTGACCCAACAGGCCTCTTAACAGTCCCTGGTTGGACTCCAGAGAAAGACCATGAAGGAAGCGGACAAATAGGTCCAGGTGACCATTTTTACTTTTCAGGGATTTCTTCATGGCATTCCTCAGGAAGACATCAAGGGGTGAATCGTAACTACCAGGAGGTTGAAAAGGCTTTGCCATCCTCTTTAAAAACGCATTCATAAATGAGCCCCTGAGTTTGATGTTCTTGTTTGTGTAACAGTTGAACATGTAGACTGCAGCCAGGAACTCCTGAACGCTCAGATGAACAAAGCAGTAGACTGTTTTCTTGAAGATCACACACTCTGTTTTGAAGATCTCTGTACAAACTCCTGAGTACACCGAGGCCTCTGTGACATCCAGACCACATTGCTCCAGGTCTTCTTTGTAAAACATGATGTTTCCTTTCTTTAGATGTTCAAACGCCAGCCTCCCCAGCTTCAAAAGAACTTTTCTGTCAGCCTCCATCAGTTCTTGTGGACTTGTCTCATGTCCCTCCTCATACTTGTTCTTCTTCATCTTTGTCTGAACCAGCAGGAAATTTGAGTATATATCAGTTAAGGTCTTGGGAAGCTCTCCTCTCTGCTCTGTGCTCATCATGTGCTCCAGAACTGTTGCAGTGATCCAGCAGAAGACTGGGATCAGACACATGATGTGGAGGCTCCTGGATGTCTTGATGTGTAAGATGATTCTGCTGGACAGATCTTCATCATCACTGAACCTCTTCCTGAAGTACTCCTCCTTCTGAGCGTCAGTGAAGCCTTGTACTTCTGTTACCCTGTCAACACATGAAGGAGGGATCTGATTGGCTGCTGCAGGTCGAGAAGTTATCCAGATGAGAGCTGAGGGAAGCAGATTCCCCTTGATGAGGTTTGTTAACAGCACATTTAACGATAGCTTCTGTGTGACATCAGACACGACCTTCTTCTGAAAATCCAATGAAAGTCTGCTTTCATCCAGACCGTCGAAGATGAACAAAGGTTTACAGTCAATGAGCATCTCTGCTGTGACCTCCTGTAATGTTGGATGGAAAACATGGAGCAGCTTGAGAAGACTATACCTTTCATCTCTGATCAAGTTCAGCTCTCTGAATGAAAGCAGGATTACCAGACTGAGGTCTTTGTTTTCTAAGCCCTTCGCCCAGTCCAGAGAGAACTTCTGCACTGAGAAGGTTTTTCCAACACCAGCAACACCGATTGTCAGAACCACTCTGATGGGTTTCTGTTGGTCGGGTTGAGCTTCTGTCTTTTGTTTCTGTTGGTCGGATAAGGCTTTGAAGATGTCCTGACACTTGATTGGAGTCTCGTGGAGAGTCTTCTTCTTGGAAGTCTCAAGCTGTCTGACTTCATGTTGGGTGTTGACCTCTTCACTCGGTCCCTCTGTGATGTAGAGCTCAGTGTAGATCGTGTTCAGGAGGGTTCTACTTTCTTTTTTATCGGTTCCTTCATTCACATGTTCATACGTCTTTCTCAGACTGTCCTTATGTAGCTCTATTAACTTCTGCAGACCTCTATCCACTAAAAGAGAAGACAAATATCCTGATACTTAACTGACAACAGGAATCTGGTTTTTAAGAAATTATAAAATCTACAATTTTTTGCAAATTGATAACACAAAAAAATATCCCTATGATAAATTTGTGCTGCTATGAGAGAAGAAAACGAGAGCAAGAATCAGGTTAAATTAAAATGGTACCATATTTATAATGATATTAACTGCATATAAACAAAAGTAATAAATGAGAAAGTCTTGGTTTCATACACAATGGCTTCATTCTTACTTATTACAGTGCTGAATCGACTGGATATCTGCTGACCTCGTGTTATAACAGATTGTTCTCCACACTGAGGACAGGAGGGCTCTTCTAATGAAGTAGACTGGTTCCAGTTTGGGGCGATGCACTGTCTGCAGAACCAGAGGCCACAGCTGGTACAAACTGAATCTCTCAGGACATTCAGACACAAAGAACAGCTGGACTGCGGTTCCTCCACAGAAACAAATTCATTTGTTATGCTGCGGAGATAAAGGACAATGTGATTATAACTCATTATTATATTTCAAAGGTGCACTCTGGAGTTTTGGTGGTGAAATTTGAAATTTGGAGAAATGAAACAATTCTATGTTATATTGTCTGAACTGAATACACAAACTTTACTCAAAGAAAAAATGGGTACTTGTAACACTGTTTGCAGCTAAAAAAGCTACCAGGAGAGTTACGGTTTCGCTGTTTTGGGCCCTCCACCATAACTTCTCACATAGCATTTTATCTTTTAACAGTTTTCCAGGGATCAAGTTTTCCTCTCAGGACAGTTTGTGTTTAGAGTTATGGACATTTATCATATATATCTATTTTAGATATATTTGGGGCGTTTTATTGCCTTCATTTTGAGCGACAGGACAGTGGGCAGAGCCGGAAATCAGGGAGAGAAAGTGTAGAATAGCATGCGTAAAAGCGGCCATAGGTCAGACTTCAACCCAGGCCACCTGTTTGAGGTCTACTCAGTCTCTGTACATTTTTGTGAAATGTTGTACAGGACAGTACAGTAGGTTAGGCTAGAAGAAAATACCAGCAACAGTAGATCGCACAGTAATCTGAAGTAAAAATATTTGAACTTTTTGCTTCTTTTGTGATTTATTTTTACTATGATGCTATGTAACTCCCCCACATAAAGCAGAACACTGTAACCTGAACAAGGAGATGATGAATTGACCATTCTGCAAATCTGTAGTACTGTTCTACATCATCCAGAGGGTGTTGTCCATCTGCTGTCCAAAGTCTGTTTAGCGCATAGCTTACCTTGTTTATGTGTTGAACACACTAAATGTGCCTACAGGGGAGGGGGCACAATAGTTTTAACAACCTGACAAAACAGATGCATTCAAATAAAGTAGTGGCATTTGATTTGATGATCATTTTGCCGACGTGAATGTTACATATATCGGGGTCAGGCTTCCTCGTACCCAAGGGAAGGTAAAATCCAAAATGCTCACCCTCAATGACAACAGGACTGCTGAAAGTCTTTCTGCTCCATCGAGAGTACAAACAGTACTTTAGTGTGTCCTACACAGCCATACATTAACAATGCTGAGAGCTAGCTAATGTTAGCAGCGCAGTTGACTTGACCCTTGCTGCATCATTGTACCAAGGAAGGTGGACAGGGTGCTCAGGAAAAAAAAAAGTTGCCAGCCACTGGTTGCTGTGCTCAAACTGGCTGATGGTGAAACAATATCCATTCAGAATAGTAGAATGTGGAATACAATAGAATGGTAACTGAACTGTACTTATAAAATCATTTTCTAGTCTGCTCACTTAATATGATTTTACATGTCACATTCATTCATTCACACTACATTCACAAACTAATGGCAAAGGATGATATGTAAAGTGTCACATCATTTTTAACTACTTCTACCCATACACAATTTTACATGTGGACTGCAGGAGCAGAGATCAAAATGTCAACTTTTCAATTGTGTGACAACTGGCTTTAAAACTGTAACACAGACACATCCTCATGACAAAAGAATGATGTTGCTTGAAAAATGTAGTAATCAACAAGGAGTTGTCTTACTTCGTATCTGACGGTCCGTTATTGAAGTTCAGAGGAGTAGCTTTAGAGCAGTCACTCTTCATAGAGAGACAGCTGGACCGAGGAGACACTGCTCTGTCCTCTTCTTCGTCCCCAAAATCACTCATCTTCTGTGAATCTGAGGGTCCTGGTCCATTATTGAAGTTCAGAGGAGAAGCTCTAGAGCAGTCACTCTTCATAGAGAGACAGCTGGATGGAGGAGACACTGCTCTGTCCTCTTCTTCGTCCCCAAAATCACTCATCTTCTGTGAATCTGAGGGTCCTGGTCCGTTATTGAAGTTCAGAGGAGAAGCTCTAGAGCAGTCACTCTTCATAGAGAGACAGCTGGATGGAGGAGACACTGCTCTGTCCTCTTCTTCGTCCCCAAAATCACTCATCTTCTGTGAATCTGAGGGTCCTGGTCCGTTATTGAAGTTCAGAGGAGAAGCTCTAGAGCAGTCACTCTTCATAGAGAGACAGCTGGATGGAGGAGACACTGCTCTGTCCTCTTCTTCGTCCCCAAAATCACACATCTTCTGAATTCAAAATTCTTCAGAGGACAATGGATAAACAAACAGTGGAGGTACAAAAAGTGAAATGTATTAATTGAAATGGTCAAGAACCCACATCTTAGTGCCTAATGTGACACTTATAATGACTTTACCTTACTGGCTGCCTAAGTGCATGATCCTACACCTCACTACGTGACCCTGGTCTGTTCAGAATTTATTTCAGACAATCGTTCTTCCCATCTGACTCAAAAGTCCTGCACTGAATAATGACAATAACAAGGGTTTGAATCGTAAACCTCAAATGTTAAAAACATAAGTCAATATTTAACAACAATTTTGATCTTATTGGCCAACATTGTTGTATCTAAACAGAGTCCTTTATGCCTGTGGAGATCATGTCATAAAACAGAACTTTGGTCAGCAGATGTTTTACTGAAGCTGTATAACATTTTACTAAGTTGCATGAATGAATCAAGCATAGCCTATTTGAAAAGTTGGGGAAAATTTGAGCTCACACCGACTGTGAGCTCAAACCACAATAATCCTGATCTAAGGGTGTACCAGGCCTACAAGTGTCTGTTGACATCCTCTTTATATCTGTCCATGTAGCCTGTAGCGTAACGAGAATCAGAGGGAGAGGTGTCTCTCTTCCTTAGACCTGACTCACACTGCAGGATAATCGGGGCGATCTGAGGTCCGATTCCTCCTTCCCGAGTCCCGACGGGTCTCGCGGGGTCGTTCCCCACTAAAGGCTGCTCGGAACCGATTATTTGATAAAGATCCAATCGACCGTCGGGCACGCCTCGATTTATGTCAAACACCGATATTTAGAATTTCAAATCTTGACGATTACATCATTAAAGGGTCTGGCAGAAGTCGTGTGTCACTACAATAACCACAAGAGACAAGGGAGGTCAGTAGGGAGGTCAGCAGCCTGATAAGTGGACAGTTAGGCTAGTGGCGACTGGCGCATGACACAACAGTCTATGGACGCAGAACAATCTGACCTCCAGCTCTCACCCATGTTGTCCAAGTCTCCCCAGACATTTTTTCACCCAAAACTTTTTTGTTTGTTTTTTAAGCCTATGTTTTGAAGCCTATGTTTTGAAGCCTATGTTTTGAAGCCCTATGTTTATGAAGCCTATGTTTTGAAGCCTATGTTTGTTCCTCTCTGCAAATTTAACCGCCAGCTCCGTTGTTTAACTTTATTGTCTCACAAAGTGAAAAAATTGTCTTGAGCTCCTAACCCGTGCTGCAGCTATAAAAAAGACAATAATTGACATCATTGACATCAGGGTGCATAATGGCACATAATGGTGCGTTTCTTCGTTGGGCACTATAATCTGAATTAAATCCTGTAGCCTATAGTCTGTGATGTGTCACGATTTTCATATATTGTAAGTTAGTCTGAGCATGTTTGAGATAATGATGAATCTGCCCAAATTCAAAATCAGGAAGGATTTTAAAAACTCAGTGAGCAACGCAAACAGTTTTCTTTGCTTTGCTAGGCTATTTAAAAAGTGACTTAGCCATTCTTGCATCATTAACTGATGAACCAGAGATTGTGACTGCAAAATAATAATAATGTGGAATTAAAACTCACCCCTTCTCAGATGTGTTTCTTTGTCCTGCTCTGCTCGAGACTCAAATGGAGTGTGAGCTCTGACTGAAAGAACACTTTCGGTTTTAGCACTGTTTTATTGTCTTATTATTGGCAATGTGTTTTCATGCAAACTTGTTACACCAGCCAGGAGTTTCTTCTACCCTTGCCATTAACCGGAAATAAAATAGTGTTTAAACATAGGATGCCGTAGCCTGCACATTAACACAAACAGCATTTTTTAGGTCAAGCTCAACATAAACATTAGCATAGATGGTTGGAAATTAAAGTTTCATCAAACATTTTAGTCTGAATGTCCTGTAAGTGTCTTTATTTAACTAAACACATCCTTTTCAAACTTGTTTTTATGGATATTGACATGGGTCACCCTTTCAGGTGGAATATTCCAGAATTTTGGATTAATCACATCCCTTATCTTTGCTGATAATTATCTCAGATGTTTCTTTTGTTTTCTCCAGGTGCTCTTGTGTTGTGGGATGTTTGGTATGCAGACGAGGGTCCTCCCGAGACGAACAAAGATCACCAGGTGAATGCAAGATGGATGGTGGCCTTCAGAGTGTAAAATGACCCAGACAAGAGAGGCACTTTGCGGGACATACAGAGCCTCCCACCTGTCCCATCTGCCTAAATCACTAAAGTGGTGCTGTGGCTCTGCAGAGCCTCCTCTTCCCCTCTGTCATAAAATACACCCCATTTTCCAAATTAGATCCTGATATTTTATATGATCACTGTCAGGCAGGTACACTTACAAGAAATAATGAGGAACAATTCTGGAGCAAAACTGCAAAAAAAAAAGCCAACAAAAACAACAAGCACAGAGATGATTCCTGGGTGCAGCCTGTGTTATTTCTTTGCCTCTGTGTCTTTAAATTCACCTTCAAACCCCTCCACCTCACCTTCTCAGTTAATATTATGACTTAAAATACATTAGTGAAACAATCAAGAACATACCTTTATACACCTTTATATCCTGTGAAACCTCTGGACGTCAGGGTGGAGGATAATGTGGACACCTCGGCTAATAATAGACTTTTCGCCTATTTCCACTCTGTGCTAATAACACTAATGACGCCTCTGCAGAGTACACCATACAATGCAGTGCAGCAATTAGTGGCTTCTCCGGCTCCTACGTGTCAAAATGTGACCTGTGCAGAAAGGCGGTACCCTCTGCAAGAGATGTGAAATAAAAGTTTCTTCCCTCCTTTGAAAATTAGAACAAGTTTTTTATTCTTGTCTTAGTCCTTTAATGGAAATATGTGACGCATTCTTACACAACAACTTCACAAACTTCAATATAGAAGTGTTGCAATTTCTGCTTTTCGACTGGTACTTTGGTGTCTCAATATGGAAACACGGACTCTGCATAGACGTGTTTTAATGTCGATCTTTGTTGAACCGGTCCCAACAATCAATGGCTACAACATATTACTAGATAACTGCAAATGACATGTGCCATTCAATATTTGAACTGAGTTTAAAATCAGGACAAAATGTGTTTTCATCCACGTCTGTAACATCATGAAAGTTGTGTATCTCTGCTTCCTCTGACTTCCTGAGTCGTCTTTTTCACAGTGGGGACCTGAAGTGAATTTTCTCAGTAGGAAACAAAATGTTTGGAAGTATTTCAGCACCGCATGAATCAGTGTCATCGATTGCATGGAGACAGTCCCAAAGAGTTGACAAGATAGAGGACACAAAGGATGACGACAAACAACGACCGAGTCTACTTGTTACTCGTTTGTTAGTTTTATCTTAATGGAGTTAAGCGTGATCCTTACTGACATGTAATTACACTCGAGCAATATAGTGTCCTACAATCAAACAATATGGATTTATCTCCCATCAGGGGATTTTACCACAACATTTAGACAAGAATATATTTGGTGAAAATAGGCCATAGTGGTTGTATGGTGACATTGTCAACCATATTGGATGTAATGGTTTTTACACTATTGTAATTTACCAACTTTAATTGAATTCAGGGGATCAGACAAAACAGATATTCTGCTGATTTCTCCATTTTAGTTTATATAAAGTAAAGTGTTGTTCTGCCTATCCCACTTTTCAAGTTTCTGCCTTTCAAAAGTTCCTTTACTAACTTTGCACCGTGCTTATGGATTTATGCTGGGTTGCAGATATAACAATGAGTAAGGTCTTTTACCTCTTCCTTTGTGGAGTCTTGAGAACACATTTTTAATGAATCTGGACTAAACCAAGTGTTTGACAGCTTAAGAATTTGAAAGAAAAAAGTAATTTTACCTTCTGAAAACCCATAAACCATACCTGATATTTCCCCGATTATCCAATTTAGTCTAGAACACAAACAATAGGATCACAGCTTCAACGTGTTTCTCATAGTATCTGCTGAATTTGAATAAAGTGACTCTCCTGTTCAGCTTACCTGTATTAGACACAAAGTGTCATAAGGACTTTACTCCGCCCACCACACACAAACATTTGGAAAACCCATTTATTCACCTATTTGAGCAAAGTTCACATTTTCTTTTTTTCCCCCCTCAGTCGTCCCTGTGACCATGGGTTCAAGCAGTGGACATCAGGGCATGTCCAGAAACAAAAAAATGCACAGAAAAGATCAAGTTAAAACAAGAGGGCTGCAACAAATCAGGAAACAATAAAAAAAAGAACAGCATTCAGGAGACTTTACAGGAGTTCATTTAATCCCGAGGATTTCTGAAGGGAAACTGTAAAGGGAAGAGCTCATACAAACACTTCACTGTACATAGAGATTTACATGGTGTGGGGACATGATGTAAGGTCTGCCTGGTACGCCCCCCTCCCCCCTGGATTGAGCAGTATTCTGTACAACTTAACAGCTGATATTGGACTGTGTGGGGTAAATCCCAGCTCCGTACCTGCACTGTGTTTGCATCTGTGTGTTCCAGACGGCCTGAACAGTAAGGTTAGAATAAATCAATCAAAGACAGACTGCTGCCTCATCTACTGTTAACCTGGTCGTATGACAGACTAAATACTATTTCTATTATATAACAATATAAAGATTGGAATGCAGACTGCAGTGGAAGCAAACTGGAACCTTATCAAATGACCTTTTCTGTCATGTTTTGATGCTGGGATGCCCAGACTGAAGTTTCCTTGATTTCATTTTGCTGAATGTTTTTTTGTATGACTCCCCAAAATGTTGCATGAGTTCCTCAAGACGGGGGAAAAGACAGGGCGTGACATGACCGACCTTGTGGCTTGAAATGTGGCGAGACAGGGGGCCTCAGCTGCCCACGTTTCAACATGTGTCCCTTGATTTTTTTGGGGGGGTAAAACCATACTTTGTTCTGGTAATAAAATCAAAAGCAGGAAAATAAAATGAAAGTATATATAACTCTTTCAGGTCCATTGTATGTATGGTTTCAATTTCTCCTTGTTCGGCCTCATTCTTCTTCACTTTCGTTTTCGTGATCCATGTCTTCCTCTCCGTTAGCTTTGGAATCTGTTCGGCTGTCTGGATCCTCCTCGTCTTCCTCCTCCTTGTCCTCCATTTTCTCCTCCATCGCCTCCTCCTCTTCCCAGTTCTGAAAGAGCAAAAAACAAATAAAAAATTGTTACAGAAATCAAAAATGTATAGTTGAATAAAGTCTGTAAATTTCAGCATGTTTTAAACAGATTGTATAAAAAAAAAGCCAATCCAGCAAGCCATAAGTGGAGCAAAAACAGTTAGAGCTCCCCCTACTGACTTGGTGCAGTATAGGTAATAAAGCCCACCTCCTCAATGTTAATCGATGGGACAGGTCATGGATCAAATTGTAAAAATCTAAGTACACATCAAATACATTTGGTTGAGTGGTTGTTTCCTTCATGTTGTTTATGCCCGCATGGCCATATAAAGAAGTTTAGTTTTGAGGTGCACGCATCCTGAAATTCTCTAGAACTTTTCAGGAGTGCATATGTGAAAACAGCTGTTTTTCACTTTTGTAAGACAGAAGGAGGTGGATAGTAACTGTTTCAAACAGCAGTAGGGGGCCACTTTGTCAAACTGTTGAGTCTCCTGTGAAACGTTAGCAATGGTAACACATCTAGGATCTGTATGACTGCTCAGTTTGTCATTACTTACATCCGAGTCCTCTTCATCTGGAAGACCTTCATCACCAGAGGCCTCGTCTTCATCAGATGATTCTGTAAAGAGAGCAAAGAAAAACAAATCCATTAGCTAGATTAGAGGGGGGGGGGGGGTTAACAGGAGGGATGGTTGATATTTAAACATCTCAGCCAGGCATCTCAACAGAACATGACGTTTTCTAATCGGCTACAGAATCGTTTTTATATGCAAAGTAGTGCTGGGGAATGATCATCCTTGACAGTATGGAAGTTTCACAGATAAGAAAAAAAGGTTCAAGCTTAGGACTCATGTCGGCTGATACAAGAGTGTGGGGCTGAACTGGATAAAGTCAAAGTAACCGTTTCAAAAAGACAGGGGTGATGGTTGATGATTTCTCTATGGTAGTAGAGGTCCTCATCCATCCATGACTTAAGTCTCAGGAAAGCATATCTGATATCAAATAAGTGCACCTCATTACTGCTGTGCACACAGATTATGTTTATTGTTAACCAGTAAACCTGCACATGACACAACTATACTGTGGGAGATAATGGTGATTCTCAAGGCAGCAGACATGCTTGGTTTGAAACCCAATCCCCAAGAAGATAAACAGACAAATCATTTCATGGTGCCCAACGCTAAGGTTGTGATGATACAACAATTCTTAAATTATATTTCAAAAACAAATAATGATGTCACAATTGTTGGTAATTTCTTGTTCTGATTAAAATATTGCAATCAAAGTCCTCTTCATCTCTTTGTTTTAAGTGTAATCAAAGAAGTGAACAGTTTGTGCACAAGAAGTGTCAAAGTTAGAGTCTGAATGAAAGAGACAGTCATGTACAGAGATCCTGATCCAGCATGCATTAATGTAACTCACTAAAGTCTGATGTAGAGGCTTATTGTTACATTAAGCTTCAACCCTGCTCTACATATAAAGAGACCCAAATCTAATTCTGCATTTTGACAGACCTTTCAACAGCAGC